TGTCAGGCCCATACAGTAAGACAAGACCTCCATTTTTCTTAGGATCCTGGCCAGTGTCTGGGGAAAATTGTGAGCGAGTCGTGCTGTGGGCTTTGTGCAGCCGGCAGTTCATGACCAGTACGTACCGGCGTCTCTTGTCAGCCTAGAAGCTAGTGTCACTTTCTGCATAGTAGTCTAGGGGATATACACCCCCTTGGAAATAGGAATTTCTGAAGTGCAGGCAGGTCACTAATAACGATTGAATATTGCAGGAATTAAGGCTCCTGGTTGCATGTGGTTCTGAGGGAAGTCCATGGGGCGAAAGCTTAGGGAGGTTGAAGACCAGAATAGATTCTGCAACACCAAGTAAGTTAGTCCTTTACACATGCATGCAGGTGAGATTTCTTGCAACATCAGTCATTTATGAAAATCTGTCCTATAAGCCAATTGTGAGGCTGAGGTACCGACCTCAGGGCTCGGTGTCAACAGAGCTTGCCAGGGTAGACAACTCACATGGAGGCAGTCCAGACAAATTTTCACACACACTTAGTCTGATCTCTGACTTCTAGAGTTCTCTATTCATATACATATCCTTTGCACAGGTTTATCGATAAAATTTCCTGTATGGATAATTTGAATTTAATGTCTCGGTGAGGACACTGATAAGGGTTATGTTAGCAAGTATCAGTTATTTCATGTCATATATTGATTGCCTAACTCTACTACTGGGAATTATGTTTTCCCAGTAAAGTCTCGTGTCATAACAACAGCTGTATATATATAATTTTATCCTTTATGTGTAAAGAAAAAAAGATAAGTAATTTTATTGCTCTTTATTAAGATTATGGTTCATAGAGATATGAAGATCCTATCTAAGTTTTATTGTAATTAAAGACATGGACTTTACTAGAGTTTTGGTCATCCTACAGAAAGAAAAAGGTTAACAAAGAAAGTCTTTGGTTAAGAAGGCCATATTTGCAGCCCTAAAACCTTGTTGCTATTGGAGTTCTACCCTAGACAATAGCCAACATAGCAACTGATACCCTATCAAGGATCAGTGGCCTAATGTTAAATACTCCTTACCACAACAACTCTTGTTGGCGTATGGAAAACAGCGAGGAGGGGAGAGGGAGGAGAGGTTATTGCTTGGAAGGGCAGTCCCCCTCCAAAAGGACTTCAGATATCAAAGTCCTATCTGGGGTTACTTCCCTACTTTGTCTTTTACTGGCACTAGGACCAGCTTGAGAGTCACTGGACCCCTATTGCACAAAAAATCTGTCCAGAGAGGCCTGTTTCTGGTGTCTCTTTAAAATCTGCCTAAAATGGGACTCAGCAAATTCTCCCCTCTCTCTTCCTCCTCCTCCTCCTCCTCTGAAGCAATTTCCTCAGCTAAAATCTGTTGCTGTTCCAGATGAAGGTCTTGCAGCTCTTCAGTGGAGGGCACATTCTGGCCACAATTTTCTCTAAGAAGAATTAATCGTCCTGGAAGTCACTCCCTGCCAAGCCTTATCTATAAGGCTTATGCAATTGAGGATATTAAAGTGATTACTCCTCAGTGTCCGAGGTCACTTCAAAGCACCGTTGAAACAATGTTAGTAGAATTACCGACAATATGTAAAGTAAAAGGACACAAGTGCAACTAAAGTGACATTTATATTGCGGCAACATTTCGCTCTCCAGGAGCTTTGTCAAGCCGTTACAAAGCCATTGTAACGGCTTGACAAAGCTCCTGGAGAGCGAAACATTGCCACAATAAAAATGTCACATTAGTTGCACTTGTGTCCTTTTACTTTACACCTTTGAAACATTGCTCTGATGTAGAGTTTTTTGAAGTTTGAAATGACCTGCTGGTCCATGGGCTGGATGAGTTGAGTGGTATTTGGGGGCAAGAACTTCACTGTAATGAAACTAAACTCCTCCAACAATTGGCCTTCCAAGTCTGGAGGATGAGAAGGAGCATCGTCCATTACCAGGCGGCACTTGAGTGGCAATTTATTGTCCAGGAGGTATTTCTTCACACTCGGGCCAAACACATCACTGACCCACTCAATGAAAATTTGCCTCGTGACCCATGCCTATTGTTAGCCTTCCACATCACACAGAATTTACTCTTGATGATGATGTTTTTCTTTAACACTCTGGAATTTTCAAGAGTGATACACCAGTAAAGGCTTCACTTTGAAATTCCCACCAATGTTACCACAGAACAAAAGAGATGACCTACATCATGCAGGAGGAAAAGGCAGTGCCTTTTCCTCCTGCGTGATGTAGGTCATCTTTGGGATTTTCTTCCAAAAGAGGCCTGTTTCGTTACAATTTTGTTACAGTTCATCAACGAATTTTTGGCCCCACATTTGTCCGAACTTGCAGCCTTGCCATGCCTTACTACAATGTGTATGCCACTTCACTTCTTGAATCTGTCGAACCAGCCTTTGCTGGCCTTAAATTCACTAACAGCGGCACTTGTTCCAGGCATTTTTTTTTTACAAGATCTGCATGCAAGTGCCTTGCCTTTTCACAAATTATCGCCTCCACAACACTATCTCCCGCTAACTGTTTTTGGTTGATCCACACCAACAACAACTTCTCAACATCTCTGACTGTTTGCGATCTCTGTTTCGTTAGCACATTTACCCCTTTTGCAACATCAACTTCCTTGATTTCTTTTTTCTTCACCAGGATGGAACTGATCGTTGATTTGGACTTCGCATACACCCTGGCGAGCTTGGCCACACGTATGCCACTTTTGTATTTTTCTATGAGTTCTTACTTGAATTCTATCATGTTTCTCACCTTCTTTACCAAAAGGGCAGGCACTTGGAACTTTCTTTGCCCCCATGATGGCTTATTTAGCAGTCCCAAGCACAAAAAAACAATGGATTATTACTAAATGTTTCAGATGAATGTGTGGAGTAATGCTCACTGAACGAGCAGCAATGGCAGACTGAGTCATGAACGTATGAGCAGCCGCGTCCCGCAGGCAGGCGGATGCGTTTGGTATGGATGATTTCCGAGCGGATGTACGAAAACGGGGAAAATTTTGCCGAAAAAAGTGGTCGAAAACTGAATTGTACGATAACTGGACAGGACAAAAACTGAGGCTCCACTGTACCTGGAGTTGTGTGACAATTTACTTGAGGCTTTTGACAAGTGTGGGGCTTTTTATGCAGGATGGTGCACCATGTCATACTGCCAAATCTGTAGTTCAGTGGCTTAAGGACTGTGAATTGAGGTTGTTTAACGACTGGCCAGGCAATTTCCCAGACCTAAGCCCTATTGAGAACCTCTAGTCAATGATGAAATGAAGTTTACTGGGCAAGGATATCAGTTCCATCCTGTGGCTCGAGTCTGCTCTATATGAAGCCTGGAATAATATGCCTCCCCAAACTCTCAAGAATTTGTGAGAGTCTTCCTACATGGCGGAGGGATGTGATTAAGCATAAAGGATGCACCACCAAGCACCACCTTTGAGGGTCGACAGGCGCTTTCTGAGACTTGTTCTCAGGGTCGGCCAAATTTAAAAGAAAAAAATTATTTTTTCTTATGAAAAGATAGAGAATCTTTTCCCGATCATAATGACACCAAAAGTATGAAATTTGATGGAAAACTTACGAAATTATGCTCTCGCGAATTTAGCGGTCTCGACGATGTTTACGCATCGGCGATTTTGCCCACTTTGAGCCCTATTTTCGGCCAATTCCAGTGTACTAGTCAACAAAAATCATAACTATTTCTCTAGAACTCCATTTTTTCTATTGAATGAGTACAAGAAACCACCCATTTACTGATGTCAACTATCCAATACAGTGGTCAGAATTTAGCAATTTTGCCAATTTCACACAAATTTCAAAAGATGCCAATTTCCAAATAGGGTCCAGAATAAACAAGAAAGACATTCCTGGCACTAAAATAACATTTCCTCTGTTCGTTAGTCACATCCCCAGGCCCCTCTTATGTTTCTTTGGCTTTCCACTTTCAATTTTTATTCTTACAAAAAATAGATGATTTACTGTTATGCAGACTGCTGCATTAGTGTAGAAATGGTATAAATAATATCAGTGCACTTGTGAAAGAATATTAGACTCACCAGTTGACGTGTATTGGACGCTTGGCATGATCTGTTTACTTTTGAACTTTGGTAAAAATCGAACATTTCTGCTACTTTGAGCTCAATTTCAAGGTACTTTTCATTGTAAAACCAGTCAAAATCATCTCAATTTCTGTAATATGTCTTCCATTCTATAAAATGAGACCAAGAAAACTAGAATACAACAATACCATACGAAAATACAGTGCAAAGTCGCTGTTTTATTCCAAAAACACGGTCAAAGTTTTTTTTTTCTCATTATGCACTGTGTGCTGCAGGATTTTTTTTATACTGCGCACACTGACCACATAGACCCATTCTTTCATATGTATGCCTACCAGCTTTCTCCCACTAGATTTGAGGGCGCTAGAATTTAGGCATACCAGTACGTCAAAAACCCTGGATCGTAAGCCGTACTAATACGGCCGAAACCCTCAAAGGGTTAAAACCTCAGTAAATGTATATATTATAATCTTTCATGGTATGTGTTTGTGTTTTGGTACGTGTGTGGGGGAGAGGCGGCATAATGCCGTGACTACCACTGTATATAAACAAATGGTAACATGATCCCAGTAAATTGCTATCTATGTTTCTCGTACCTAGGAGGATAAAAGCTTTTCATAATGGTATTTTTTTGATAGACCTGACCCCCCAGCAAGAGCAGGTTACCAAGAATGATGGGACCAGAACACTATATGATATGAATCAACCATTATAGGATCTGAAGTCACTGCTGTCAACTAAGATAGATACAAGGATATTTACCTCATTTGACTTGATGTTTGTGAACCCTCAGCTAGTGAGGGTATAGTTATACTCAAAAAACTAACTCAGCTAAACTACAAAGTTACACTGCAACCTAAACAAACAAATTTAAAATATTTGACTTGAATTGATGAAATAATATTCTGATTAAGACAAACCATGAACTTACTTTTTACTTGCTGGTCAACTGGCTGATTAATAATTCGGCCAAAAAAGTCTCTTGGAGCCTATAGGGAATAAAAAAAAAATTAGTGTTAACAAAGTATTAAACAAATTTATAAGTTTATGATATAATACTTAATCCAATATACTTGGCTGACAGAAATTGGTAAAAGGAAATATTAAAAATATACATTTTAACATGACATACCTATAAGCGTATGGGGTGGAACTTTTCTGGGTAAGTGGGATAGGTTAGATGAAATTTTCTCTGAGTGAAAATGTTTTCAGAGTGCCCTAATTTCCATATAAGTACTATATGGAACATAAAATAACCCAAAAGATCATCCTAAGACATCCTCACTGATGATGATGGATGTCAAAGTCTACTTACTACAGGTCGGCCATAAATAATCCGGCAATCAGTAATCTAGTTCCATCAGTAATCCAGCACTAATTTTGGCCAGCACAATTTCAAATTTCCAGGGTTGCCACAGCAACCTGCTGCTACTGTCTGGTGGTGCCACTTGCTGCATAAGTCATTCCAGTTTCTTTTTCTACATTTATTGTTATAACCTGCTGACTTTTAGCCCTAGCCATGGTTCCAGCGAATGAAAGAAATGCTTATTGTTGTGTAAGGCACATACACCATACATTGTCCATAAAAGATATAGTGGCTTTGAAGCCACTGTCGGTTGCCATGAGCTCAGCACACTCAGATAAGCTGTAACCAGTATATTTGGGCTTACATATGAGAGAACAAATCTGTGTGGTAGATGTGCACTATATAAAAAAAAACCTGCAGCATGTAGTGCATTAGAAAAAACTACAACTGTGGTGTAAAACAGTGACTTAAGGGTGGCTAACGTGTGCGGTGTGTGATGTAAAAAAAAAAAAAATTGAAAAAAATATGAAAATTGAGCTAATCATATAGTAAAATAGCTTAACACTTTGGTATAAGAATAATTGTTGTGCTACATTCCTACAAGGAATTACAGTCATTTATAACATATATGGTGATGCCACCACCCATAGCATGGGTGCTCTCATGTCAATTTTCAGATTTTTTCCGTTTTTTTTTTAATTTCTTTTATTATTTTTCTAATATAATAATTCATGATTTGGGATCATAACAGAGTGGGTGGAGCTATTATGGAGTCTGAGAACCAATCAGGAACCATCTGGGAATGTTTGCTTATGTCAGCAGGAATTCCTGAGTCTCGTGATGCGAAGGAATATGCTTTATTATTACGCTAATATCAACACTATGGCTTTTTACCTATCTCAAATGATTTAATATGACATAATAAACAATATAAATAACATAAAAACATAGTAAATACTCCAGAATGAATAATACAGTGGTACCTCGAGTTACGAACTTAATTCGTTCCAGAAGGCTGTTTGAGTGCCGATACCGAATGAATTTGTTCCCATAAGGAATAATGTAAATTAGATTAATTCGTTTCAGACCCCCAAAAATACACTTACAAAAGCACTTACAAAAATACACTTACATAATTGTTCGAGTTGGGAGCTGTTTGAAACTTGAGGTACCACTGTATGTATTTGGCATAATACTGAGCAGTCCGACAGAGGTACGAAGTTACCGCTTGAGGATGTGGGATAAAAGTACCATCCTCCTATCCCTGTCTTGGGGGCTTATATTAGAGAAAACATAGTGTAGTACTGGGCTAACTGGATATACACTCGTAATGCACCATAAACTGAAACAAAAAAGCTATTTTCTTGAAATTTTTTTTCTGGTGCACGCTCGTTTTTGTCGATTATCTTGGAAGTTATTGATTTATATGTTAACACAGCAGCATTAACCCTTTCAGGGTCGACAGGCCCTCTCCCAAACTTGTTCTCACAGTCGAACAATATTCGAAAAAAAATTATTTTTTTCTTGTGAAATGAGTTTTTTTATGAGAGTATTATAGGCCAAAAAAAAAAAATTGTGATCAATACTTACAGAGATATGGAGGTGTGAAGTTCACAGAAATTGAACCACATACGGCAACATCGCCGACTGCCGGTCACCCAGTAATAGTTTATTTCGTTTTTTCTACTTTTTTTACTTTTTAATATATTTTATTTTTTGAAGTAACTTTTATGGCCTCTGAGACCAATATAAAGACTATATGGTATATATTTACTCATTGTATACTACACAATAAGAGCACAAACTTTGCTGTCATTATATTGTTTACATGTTTACACAAACCAACAATAAAATACAGTGGTCCCTCGATAATCGTCCGGCCTGAAAGTCGTCCATTTCAGAAATAGTCCTGTTTTTTCGTCAAAATATTGGCTCGCAAATGGTCCGGTAACTCGCTAATAGTCCTTCGTCCCGGACGCGTACTCATGCTCTGAGCCACCTCGGCCTTTCCTTCCCAGCCAGTGTGCCATTGTTTACCAGTGAGTGACGGTCCCCTCACGTGCTCCAGCGAAATATTTCATATTCCATTTATTTTAGTGCTTGCAAGTTATTTAAGTGCTAAATAAGCTACCATGGCTCCAAAGAAAGCTCCTAGTGCCAAGCCTTTGGTAAAGGTGAGAAATACGATTGAATTTAAGAAAAATATCATTGAATAATATGATAGTGGCGTACGTGTAGCCGAACTGGCCAGGATATATAACAAATCCCGTACAACCATATCTTCCATCATAGCCAAGAAAATGGAAATCAAGGACGCTGTTGTTGCAAAGGGGGTAAATATGCTGACAAAAATGAGATCACCAGTACTCGAAGATGTTGAGAAGTTATTATTGGTGTGGATAAACAAGAAACAATTAGCAGGAGATAGTATTATGACGTCGCTTATTTGTGAAAAGGCTAAGCAGTTGCATGACGATTTGGTAAAGAAATTGCATGCAACTAGTGGTGATATGAGTGAATTTAAGGCCAGCAAAGGCTGGTTTGAGAGATTTAAGAAGCGTACTGGCATACACAGTGTGGTAAGGCATGGTGAGGCTGCCAGTTCAGACCACAAGGCAGCTGAAAAATATGTGCATGAATTCAAGGAGTACATAAACAGTGAAGGACTGAAACCTGAACAAGTGTTCAGTTGTGATGAAACAGGCCTCTTTTGGAAGAAAATGCCAAAGAGGACCTTCATTACTCAGGAAGAAAAGGCACTGCCAGGACACAAGCCTTTGAAAGACAGGCTGACGCTAATGTTCTGTGCTAATGCTAGTGGGGATTTCAAAGTGAAGCTGTTACTAGTGTACCATTCTGAAAATCCCAGAGTGTTCAAGAAAAACAATGTTATGAAGAGTAAATTGTGTGTGTTTTGGAGATCTAATAGTAAGGCATGGGTCACAAGGGACATTTTCGTCGAGTGGTTCAATGAAGTGTTTGGCCCTAGTGTGAAAAATTACCTCCTGGAAAAGAAATTGGATCTCAAGTGCCTCCTAGTAATGGACAATGCACCTGCTCATCCTCCAAACTTGGATGACCTAATTCTGAAGGAGTTTGGGTTCATCACAGTAAAGTTCTTGCCCCCGAATACCACTCCTCTCCTCCAGCCCATGGACCAGCAGGTCATTGCAAACTTTTAAAAACTCTACACCAAAGCAATGTTTGAAAGGTGCTTGAATGTGACCTCAGACACTCACTTGACCCTACGAGATTTTTGGAAAGAACACTTCAGTATTCTCCATTGCGTAAGCCTTATAGGTAAGGCTTGGGAGGGACTGATTACAAGGACTTTGAACTCTGCTTGGAGAAAATTGTGGCCAGATTGTGTCCACAAGAGGGATTTTGAAGGGTTTGGGCCTGACCCTGATGAGCCTATGTCAGTTGTTCAATCCATTGTGGCACTGGGGAGTTCCATGGGGTTGGATGTGAGTTTCGAGGATGTGGAAGAGTTTGTGGAGGATCACAATGAAGAGCTAACCACTGAGGAGCTGCAAGAGCTTCAGCAGGAAGAGCAACAGATCACAGCTCAGAATCTTACTGCAGAGGAGGAGGAAGAGAGATGGAGGAAGGTGCCTTCTTCAGAAATTATGGAGATTTTTGAAATGTGGGGTAGGATGGAAAGATTTATGGAGAAACATCACCCAGAGAAGGTTTTTTTTTTTTTTTATTCGCCGGTATTCTCCCGGCCCGGGTCTTTTCCAAGTAGTGGTGACCCGGCCTTGGCTCCCTATCTGGGGAGTGTCTCGAGACTTAAGTCTCCCATGGGAGGAGGTACAAGTACCCCTTCATCTTTGGGACCAAGTGTCCCCAGGCCTAGCCACATTCCTCGCCCTCACGGGGCTCGTAGGGAGAAGCTAGGCCTCTGGTCTGCCATCTACCCCACCTCAAAGGGGCTCGTGGGGATGGCAGTCTTATGAGCTGCAGATGGTAGCAAGAAGGATGTTGCAAGCCATATCAGCAACTTGTACAGTGACAGAGTCTTGGCCCATTTTAGGGAAGTTTTAAAGAGACGCCAGAAACAGAGCTCTCTGGACAGTTTTTTTGCAAGACAGGACTCCAGTGACTCTCAAGGTGGTCCTAGTGGCATTAAGAAACAGAGAAGAGAAGTAACCCCAGAAAAGCAATTGGTACCTGAGGTGTTGATGGAAGGGGATTCCCCTTCCAAACAGTAAATCATCCAATCTGTCTCCTTCTCCAGTCTTCCATACACAAAGAAGAATCGCCAATAAAGGTAAGTGTTATTCTGTTAATGTTTAATTCATCATGTGCCACTGTATTGTTTATGTACTACATCTATATTTCGTGTAAAAAAATTTGTTGTTTTAATACTTCTGGGTGTCAGGAACGGATCAATTGAATTTACATTATTTCTTATGGGGAAAATTGATTCGTAAATCATCCATTTCGATAATAGTCCCACTTCCAGGAACGGATTATGGACGATTATTGAGGGACCACTGTATGTTTATTATTATTTTTCTATCATATATATACACATATAGTGTCACTGGACATGTTCCTATAACTACAAGAGGTTCTGAAAGCTTGTAGTTGTGTGTGGGTGGACTTGTAAATATGCTGAGTCACCGGTGTGTCTTTTGTCACAATAATACATCATACCACCACTCACTAACCTCACTG